GGGGGCGTTGCTTTATTAGATTTGCAGAAAATCAGAAAGCTTTTAAACAATTGGTTGGTGATAACAAATCAATAGCAAGGCACTGCGAACAAATAACAAAAATCTTAACAAGATGTGATTCATCTTTAGCAAAAACACCTTGAATTTGTAGCAGGTCCATTTATTATGTTGCTATAGTTCTATTTTCTTTATCTTTATTTAGAAAGAAGAGCAAGTGGGGAAAATGTTCCAGAGCTCTATAAGGCAGGTGGAGTGGAAGCTTAGGACTCCCAAGCCTTCGGGCCGACGGGGAAGATGGGGAAGGGCGGGCAGGAGCTCTGGGGCTGGGGAAGAAGGGGGCTGACAGCGCGGTTCATACGCTGAGAGAAGAAGATGATGAAATGTAAGAGGACACACACGTAAGAAGGAATGAAGAAAATAAGGTCTGTGCCAGTAAAGACGTAGTAAATGCGCAAGAAAGGGAAGTTAGGCTGAAAGGACTTTCTCAATTTCAAATACTAGAAAAGGAATGGCTCTTTTAAATTCTCACAAGAGATGAACCAAAATAGGAGCTATTTTATTTTGAAATGAGAATGAATGTTTTTCTATATCAAAGATATAACCTAATTTCTTGGACAAGCTTGACCTAATTGACAGTGTTTTTACTTGGTATTTTATTTTACCACTTTAATAGAGTTAGCCTGTCATTTTCTACGTATAATTTTATTTTCGATTACACTTGCGGCGAACTCATACTGTTCATTCGCCTGGAAAATCCCCATGCTGAGGTTCAGATGCTGGAGGAAAGAGCGGGACTGAAGGCTCCACATGGGGAGAGGAGCTTGTGCACATGAGAAGCTGGGACAGGGGAGACGGAGGAGGGGAGGAAGGGGAAGCAGGAGCGATGGAGGTGCAGTGTGTCTGTGCACCGATTTCCCACAAGGAATGCATTTATCGTGTGGCACACACAGATGCTAATAAAAAGGGCAAAACAAAAGTGAATGTGTTTGATAATTTACTTACACGGTCTCCAACTGAAGCCCACTTCTGTAAGGTAGTAATTCAGAGAGAGAAGCAGGAGGTGGACAGGGCCTTCTCTCATCCGCAGACATTAAGACAGTGTAAACCATCTACACGCATCACGTGTGCCTGGCTTTGTTGCCATTTTCGTACTGGCAGGATGCAGGCTGGATTGAACTTTCAGAGAATAAGGGATGTGCGTTATTCAGTGCAGCTTTTACAATACCTTGCACACATTTGCAGTCCAATCCAGCGCAGTTGGCTTTAGTTACTCTTAATGCTTTGTTTCTCGAGTATCTGCATGAACAACTACACACTGGGGGAGGTAAGGTTCAATTCGCTTCACCTGTCTTTGCTCCAGTACCATAGCAGGTCAATGCATGATTTTCCATTTCTGTTACTTTTTTATTTTTTTTAGAAGAACACATTTACCATGCAAACTGATCACATTCCTTCTGAGGACTTGGGAATGTACAGAACACTGCTTCATTCCTTTCTCACAACCTCCCCTCCATCCCTCTCCCTCTGTATCTTGGTTCCTTTCCCATCTGAGGGAGATCCATCTCCCTACTTCCTGTTATATATCTTCTATTTTGTTTTGTATTTATAATTTGGGATTCTCATATAAGGGAAATCATGTGATATATAAGCTTGTGTGTCTGATTTATTTCACTTAACCTTATGGTCTGAAGGTGCATCCATTTTCCTACAAATAACTTAATTTTATCTTTTTATGGCAGTGTAGTACTCCATTGCATGAAAACACCACATTTTCTTTATCTATTCATCTTTTGATGGACACATAGGCCACGTCTGAGATTTAGCTATTGTGAGTTGTGCTGGTATAAACATGGGAGTGTATGTATCTCTGTAATATGATGTCTTTAACTCTTTTAGGAAGATACATAGAAGGGGAATACCTAGGTCAAATAGAATTTATAGTTTTAGTATTTGAGGAATCTTCATACTGATTTCCATAGTGGCTGTTCTAATTTGGATTCCCATTAACAATGTAGAAGGGTTTCCTTCTCCCACAGCCTCATCAGAAACTGTTATTTGACTTCTTGATAATAACCCTTCTTTATGCAGTAAAATAATACATTCTCAGCATTGTTTTACTTTACCTGTCCGTAGTGCCCAGCAATATTGAGCATATTTTTAGGTATTTACTAGCTATTTGTGCTTTCTCTGTGAAGTATTTATTAAGTTTATTTGCCCATTTTTTGATTGGGTCTTTTATTTGGGGGGTATTTTTTAGTTTTTTATACATTCTAGATATTTTGTCTGAGGGTTAGCTGTCACATGTTTTTCTCGTTCTGTAGATTATCTCTTCACTCTGTTGGTGGTTTATTTTCATGAGCAAAAGCTTTTTAATTTGATATGATTTCATTTGTTGATTCTCAAAACTATTTCCTATGCAACCAGGGCTCTGTATAGAAAGTCCTTGCCTACATCTCTGACTTTAACTTTTACTTATTTCATCTTTCAGTAAGTTAAGTGTTTCTGTTTTAACATTTATCTCTTTATCATTTTGCTTTTAGTGTAGTACATGGTGAGAGACACGGGACTAGATTCAATCTTCTGAATGTGGATAGCCAGTTTTGCCAGCACCATTTAGTATTAAAGAGGCTTTTTTCCTCCAGTGCATGTTTTTGACCCCTTTGTCAAAGATCAAATAGTTGAATGTGGCTGGGGTTGTTTCTGCATCCTTTATCCTATTCCATTGGCCCTCATGTGTTCTTTGTGTCAGTACCGTGCTGTTTTTACTGCGATAGCTTTGAAATCTAACTTCAAGTCCGAAATCGTGATGCCTCTCACTTTGCTCTTGTCACCCAGGGTTGCTTTGGCTGTTGTGGGTCTCTTCTGGTTCCATATGAATTTTAGGATTGTTTTCTCAGTTCTGTGAAGAATCTAGTTGGAATTTTGATTGAGATTGCATTAAATCTGTGTATCAGTTTTGGAAGTATGGCCATTCTGATTATATTGGTTCTGCCTATCCAAGAACAGGGGATGTCTTTCCATTTTCTGAATTCTATATCTATATTATAATGAGATTTCTTTTTTTTTTTTTTTTTTTGGTACCGGGGATCGAACTCAGGACCTTGTGCTTGCGAGGCAGGCAGCCGAACCACTGAGCTAAATCCCCGGCCCCGATAATGAGATTTCTTAGTACAGGATCAAGGCTTTTTTTCAAAAACATCAAAACTATAATAATATAATGCATGTGTTAACATATTCACAAAACTCTTTTATGTGCCTTAAGTATGAAATATTATATATGAACTATTTATCTCATATGAATGATTTAAAGCAGACAAGGTAAGTAGAACCTAATTTGTAATAGCTCAATCTGGAATAAAAACAGTATGAAGATTAGGCATCTGAGTTCTTGGAAGAAAAAGTTTTACCAAAGGTCACAAAATTTAGAAGTTTGCAATTTTCAAGCCTGCACTGAATTTTTACACATACAGGTTTGTGTTATCACACACACTCAGAAACGCATACACATGCATTTCTAGTAGCCCAACCTCATCAATGTAGTCTTAATACTATGTTTATGATGGGAATCCCTACTGTGTCACATTAATTATTCTGCAGTCAGACTTCATGAGACAACCATATATATTAAATATATCTATGAGATAAACAAGTAGAAACTTATGAACAAACCCAAGTTTTGCAATAATTACTAAAGTTAAAGACATATTTCATTTGTCTTTAAAACTTCTGGTTTGTGCTCGGTACTTCTACTTTAAAAATTATTATGCTTGTATTAAACTTAAAGATTTATAGCTTAAAATATGAATAGGTAATATTTCATATGTTCTACATGGCTTACTGAGTCTGTGTAATTTTTCTGAAAAGGAGTGAAGCATAGCCCAGTGAAATATGCTAAGCGCCCAGCCCCAGAGCAGATGGTAAAGGACAGACAGGCACAGGTCACGTGATCATGAGTATCCACAGTCCTGAAGATCAGGAAGAAATTAGCTGACACTGTGTGTGATAAGCTAGTTTCAGGGTTCTGATCTCCTTCCTGGTCTCTTAACAATGGTGCTGACTTATGTGTGTACGTGTGTGTGTGTGTGTGTGTGTGTGTTTCATTGGTACTTTGATAAAGTAATACACTATGGGAGAAAAGTTGGATAGATTACTGTAAGAATTTAAATATTTGCGATGTCCTAAGTGCTTTCAGTGAGATAAACTCAGCTTCTTAGCACGTTTCAAAGTAAAGGCTGGAATTCATTACATCTTTTCATGTAGTACGTGTGAGCCACAGCCTTATCAGCCCAATTATTTACCAAAGTAAAGGTGGGGCTGCTGCGTGTTTGGTTGTCTGTCTTTCCTCTTTCTTTCTTGGGAAGATTTTTCATCTCAGGGGAGGTGGGCTGGAAGGTTTGGAGATGGACGTAGTGTGCCATGAGCAGGGCTGGCATTGGTGGTCCAGGAAAGGTTTTCAGGAGGTGACTGTGGCTCACGCCGATAGGGTATGGGGTGTGAGAGTAAGGGGCGCTTCTGGCAGGAGCCCCAGTGGAATGTCATCAGGTTTGCTGAGAAGGCAGCGTCAGGAAGGGGTTCTTCCTCTTCCTTTCTACAGACTTCACCCTTCCATTCCCACCCAGCTTGCTGATGAGGAGTTTGATGAAAATTATGTTGTGCCTGAAAGGAAGAATAATAATCATGACCACAATAAGTAATATCTGATGGCACTTAAAGTTTAAGAAATGTTTTAATGTCCAGTACTGCATTTTCTATTGGTGTTTACACAAAGGATTTCTGCACCTTCTTAAGAAAATGGGTTAATTTTTCTGGAACTCTTTCACGATTTGTAATATCCCTTTGTATACAAATGCGTAAGATTCAGCTTATATCCACTTAAAGATTGAACTAAGGAAATATGAGTTTCTTGTAATATATCAAAAAGGGGTTAAGAGGAAGTGAAAATGGGCTATTGTTATGTTATTGAAGTGTGGATTGATGTGTATGCTCTGTTTGCCTCTCAGATCCCAGATTTGTCAGTGCCCACCTCATCCCAGAGAGTGACAACCCAGAGGATGACAAAGTGTACTTTTTCTTCCGTGAAAATGCAATAGATGGCGAACATTCTGGAAAAGCTACTCATGCTAGAATAGGTCAGATATGCAAGGTGAGGTAAAGAAAAGAATGAGGATGATGCTGATGTCCCATCAGTTTCATTTCTTTTATTTTCCACCTGCATGCAAGTACAAAGAGGAATACAGCTACGATGTGTGTAATCACACCAACATGTTTGAACGGCACTGGTGCTGAGTGGTGAAGGACACGTGGTAGTTGCTTTGCCATCTTCCCAGAGAGACAGCCAGGGAGAAGTTGTAACAGGCAGTGTTATTTCACAGCCACACTAGGTGATCTTGGCTTGAAAGTCTTGTGATATAAAATGCTTCCCTTGGCTGTAGAGATATAAAATACCTGCATTGCCTGGGAGAGTCTTGCTTTTGGTATTTTCCGATTAAGCAGTTTCCTACAACTGGTAAGCTTGGGATGCATATTTGCTGTTGGATTATAAGAAAAGTATTAATTTAGGTGAGAAAAACTTTGGTTATGGCTTTCTGTGTATGTGTACACATACAAATACATGCACAGAAATGCATTCCTCAGAAGCTCTGAGCTTTATCTTTCTTAGATTTCATTTATTGTGTGGCATGATGTTGGACTTGATATTGCAATATAATGTTAGATATACAGGATAAGAATCCTCAATAAATATTCATCAACTAATTAGTATCATCAATTTGAGGGATGTTCAATGATTTGAAAATGAAGAGATTTAAATTACCTGGAAACAAAGAAATAAAATGTGAATAGATGAGCCTCTTTTCTCCAAAACAAGATCATTGCAAACATATTACTTAAAAGGATTATAGTATAAAAATCACATAAAGAAAATATAAACCAGTGTTCTATTTTGAAGGAACCTGTATGTTCAACATGTGAACATAAATATTGTTTTAAAAGACTGTAGTTGCTAGTAAATATATACCTTTTAGTAGAATTTATTGCTACATTTAGGTTAAAATTCATTTTATTTGCAGTGAGGAGACACTTTCAAAATATTTCCTCTAGAACAAGTTTCCTTTAGCAAAGTTTGTGCAAATATTTTCTCGACATGTTATTTATAAAGCATAAATTCTATCAGCACTTCAAGTTTTAAAGTATTTGATGCTAGCATGTTTATTGGGAGCACAAATTTCTGGCGTAGGTTAGAAGGCCCACATTTATCATCTGTTCAGTAAACAGGCATGACTGCCTACTGTGTGCCATTTACCAGCTGGAAACCAACCTCACAGCTGAGTGAGATTTCACAAATGCACTGTGAGCACAAGAGAATTGAATCAAACAAACTCCAGAGCAGAAGCTGCTCACTGCAGAGTGGTAACAGAATGGACAGAAGCTATGCAACTCTTAGAAAAACTGTTTAATTGGAAATAAAAAATTGTATATATTTGTCGTGTGCAACACAATGTCTTGATATGTGCACGCATACACAGTAGGATGGCTAAATTGGACGAACTAACATGCACAGCTCATATTACTATGTGGCAAGGACACTTTAAACTGCTCTCTGCAGTTCGAGAGAATGTAATGTTATTCCTAACTATACATACCAGATTGTACTTTAGACCTCTCGCACTCATTTTCCCTGTCTAACTGAAATCTTGTGTTCATTCACTAGTATTATCCGAAACCTCACCCCTTCCCCAGCCCCTGGAAGCTACCCTTCTGTGTTGCTTCTATGAGCTCCACTTTTTCAGATTTCTCATTTAAATGAGCTCATGTGGCATTTGTCTCTCTGTGCCTAGTTCATTTTGCTCCACACTAAGTCCTCAAAGTTTATCAATTTTTTGACAAATAACAGGATTTCTTTCTCTCCAAGGCTGAAGAGTCTTCTGTAGTATGCATGTACCACAGTCTTAAATTCTATTCATCTACTGATGGACAAAAAATGGCTTTTTCATGTTAAGAAGCATTGATTATGAATAATTTCTTGAATAGAGTTTGAGTCAATGGTTTGACCAATAATATAAAACAGTGATGGTTACTTGCATCTGGTCATTTAGAATGAGTATGGTCACTTTGGAATGTGGAGAATTTGGGAACCCCCACTCTTGCAAATAAAGATTGCTCTTTTTGTGTAAAAATGAGGAATTATACTTGTATTTGTCTCGAGATACGAGAAAAGATGCATTTGAAATTGCTGTTTGCAAGTGCGGTGTCTGACTGTTCTCTCCCTTCTCAGAACGACTTTGGGGGCCACCGCAGCCTGGTGAACAAGTGGACCACGTTCCTCAAAGCCCGGCTCATCTGCTCCGTGCCAGGGCCCAGTGGCATTGACACCCACTTCGATGAACTGCGTACGTAGCTCTTGCCTTTACGAAGGGCGTTTGTTCCGACTTTGCCACGACCCTGAAAAATGCAACTTTCCCCAATTTTGTTTTCCAACAGAGGATGTATTCCTAATGAACTCCAAAGATCCTAAAAATCCAATTGTCTATGGAGTGTTTACCACCTCCAGGTAAATGACTTTTTGTCATCATTTTGTCGTAGAAACTGCTGCTTTAATCGTTGAGCATCTTTGCACATTCTAAGAGGGCTGGAATACGTTAGGACGTAAAAAGTCGCTTGTTTTTTAAAACACATTTTAGTAAAGGGTGTGAGCCATGTAAATAGAATGGCAGAGCAGCTGGAAAAGTTGGTGTCCTATCCTCCGGAAAGCTTTAACTTAAACCCTAAATGAAAGGTAATGGGAATAGGAGCACTGGCGATTTTGTAGAGGTGTAAACTAGGAAGAATCTTAATTCAGAATGTGTGCATGCATAGAATTCAGAATATATGCCTAAAATGTACAAGTAGGACAATTCCCTGCCCACCCCCGGACCCAGTCTCTTCCATCAATAACGAAATGCATGAGCTACAAGAACAGCTCAGATACTTTTCAGGTCCACTGGGACGAACGAGGTCTCTCTCACCCACTGGCTGACGCCAGGGTCTAAGGAGAAGACGCCCACAAGGCGAGAGCAGCCTGGGCCTCGCCCACTCTGCTCCACTGCAGTCCTTCCTCGCTGTGCTGCCCGCCCGCACAGACCTCGGGAATGAAAGTAGAAACACAGGTTCAGGAAAGGACATGCACTCACAAATACAACCACTAAGCTGCCCTAGATGCTCTGAAAACATTCATACCACAATCTATGATATTTCTGTTCTATACATAGTTTAAGACTTTTTAAAATGAGCACACGCATGCTCTTTTTAAAACCTAATCTCAATCTCTCTCTCTCTCTCTCTCTCTCTCTCATTTTGCTTAGTTTTTATGGGCCACTTTGTGATCTACATTTTGCAAATAAATACAGAAAGATCCATAACACCAATTAACAAAAGCAGCAGAAACTCAGCCTCTGCACTCAGCCGACCCTGGCTCGTGCCCCTGCTCTGTTTTGTTTTGCTCCTCTCGCCTCTCCCCCCACCCTGCTCTGCCTGTCCTCCGCAGCCTCCTCCTCTGTCCCTCGTCCTACCCAAGGCTCCTGCTACCCATTCCACACAGGCCTCTCCCCGCCTCACATCCCACGTTGCCTTCCCATTGCTGGGAACCGCGGAGAGAAACCGTGTGTACTTCGCAGTTTCCAGTAGGGATCTGCACTGAAATATCCTTAAAATATCCAGAGGGAAAATAACTTAAAATCAAAGTCAGGAAAATTCCTATAAGTGATTGTAATAGCATAAAGAGAAAGATTCGATACAGCACCCAACACTAGTTCATTCTGTAAATATTAAAGCATTATAAAGTTTTCAGGTACATTTACTTAACTTAAAATTTAGCGCAAGTGAAGACCCCTGGAGCATTGAACCTGTAGGTGAGCTCCGACGCCTGCATGATTTCTGCCCTTCAGTGTAAAAACAGAAAAACTAAACTAAAGACTTTGGAAGGCTCAAGTGAAGCAAATATTAATCCATTTCTTCTACTGCTTCTTCATTGCTTCATTTAATAGTTCTCAGCTTGAGAATGCATGAGAATCATGTAGAAAGCATGCTGAAATTCTTGCCTCTGTCTTTTATGATTAAAGAAACAAATTTCAATTAAGAAACATGAAACAATAGAAGTTGAGGTCACTAGGCCCCACTCCCAGAGTCCCTGAGTCTCCAGCAATGGGGACATTTCTAACATGTCCCCAAGGGAGGTCACGTGGTTAGTGTTAGGGTCAGGGCCAGGGCCAGGGATAGAGACAGGGACAGGGATAGGAGTTAAGGCTGGGGTTGGGGTTAGGGATAGGGTTGGTGTTAAGTCTAGGGTTAGGGTTAGCGTTAGGGCTAAGGGTGAAATGCTTTCGCTTTAGTTCAGGGTGCTGGATGTTTGCTTTCAATTCCTCATAACTGTAATCATACTCATGGAGGCCTCTGATGGCCCCAGTTTTACCTGTTAATGACCAGATTATGGAATAACGGTGAAGTGCCAGCTAGTGTAAGCATCACCTTAGCATCTGTGATCTACCAAATGAGTGTGAACTTGATTCATATCCTGTCATGGAAATACTAAGTTCTGTAAGTACTTGTTGAGGTTAAGCTGAGCCAGGGCCATGTGAAAAGGCACAGCACAAAGCAGCAGGTGCCCCCTGAAGCCTGCAGTCTGTCCTGTGTGGTCCATTTGGAGCGCTTTGCAGAAATCTGTTTCTAGTGCACATGGTTTCCATTTGGCCTGCTTTATATGTGACTTTCTATAAGGGTAGATCAGCTCTAAGTGTTCCATATTGTAAGTGGCACAACTCTTTAATATCTTTCTCCAAATACATTCCCCAGCCCTAGCCATGTAAGCAAAATAAAAGGCAAAATTTTCACAGCTCAGTGACAAACTTGCAGTTTATTTCTATTACCTCACATTTGTTAACAAAATAATGTGAATAATTGTGACCGTTCTCCACTTTAGCTGGGATGAAATAGCTACCAACTGAAAACTGTTGGCTATGTTGGAAAGAGATGATTTTTTAAATGCCTTCACAAATATCAAATTGTTACTTGATCTAATACTTCGGTGGTTTGGGAGATAATAATGTAATGTGCACATCATTTGGCATGGACAACTCATTTTCTGCATGAATTTCAGTGTGTAAAATGAGTTCCTAAACATGCTTTCCTATTTAAAAGGTTGCTTGAGGCTTAGACAAGGTTTGTATTTTTATATGGCTTTAAAATTGAATTCTAATTTAGAGATGATTTTCTACATGTTTTTTCTATCAAAATTTAAGAGTTTGTTTGATATGAATGCATATATACTAAAGATAGTTTCACCATACTTTCCATTATTGAGAAATCATAATTTGTTCTCTTGTGCATTGTTAAACTGCATATATGTGACTAAAATAATCCTCAGTATTATTTGAGATTGCTAATAATTTATGTTCAGGTTTACTTTTTCTATTTTCTTCATTTGATTTTACAGTACTGGGGATCAAACTCAGGGCCTTGCACATGTTAGACAAGAGGTCTACCACTGAGCTGCACAACCAGCCTTGTGTTCAAGTTTTAATGTCAAAGCTGGGTCTCAGCAGCTCCTGCTGTTGTGTAAAGACAGATATCGTCTTTTGTTCTCTCTGTTTGCAGTAACATTTTCAAGGGGTCGGCCGTGTGCATATACAGCATGAGCGATGTGCGGAGGGTGTTCCTGGGGCCCTACGCCCACAGGGATGGTCCCAACTATCAGTGGGTGCCCTACCAGGGCAGGGTCCCCTACCCACGGCCAGGAACGGTAAGTGCCTCCTCACTGCTTATCATAGGAATGACGTTATTTCTGCCAAAGGTTAAAAAGAGGAGAAAAGAGTGTTCTACAAGTGAACATTAGACACAGATAATGAGAAACAAAGACACAAAGACTCTAAGGCTGTAAGTGAAAGCGAGACTGAGATTCTCTGTGAGGAGTGGAATTGCACTTTGAAAATCAGTGTTTACCGTTCAGCACCCACACCCTGGAGAAACAACCCTGAATGGCAGCCTCATCTCCTTCCTTCCCTAGTGGGACACAGGGGAGATGGCCTCGTGTGGTCCCAAAACGTACAGGATCCAGCCAGGCTTGGCCTCCGTCATCGTAGGGAAGTCAGTGTTGCAGTTTATGCTGGAGGAAAAAGCTTACAAAAAACCAACATCGTCATCCCGTGGGACTAGCATAAACTCCTCAATGGAGGTGAAAAAGAGGATATGAAAAAATATGTGTCAGAAGAGAGCAAGGCCTGCACATCCCACTGTGCCCTGTCACACCTAACAGCAAACCTCTAACCTCACCCTAAGCCTGCAGCAAATCTGGGCAAAGTTAGAAAAACTCAGAATAAAACCAGCTTTGAATCACCAACTTAAAGCAAGGGGCAAAAACCAATGAAGATATTAATATGGTAAAAAAAAAATTAAATGGTAAAATTCAAAAAAATTTAAAAATTAATATAGTAAAAAAATGTAGGGAAATCGGAGTAGTCATAGAAGAGTGGGAGACAACTATAGCCCCACTGTGGAGTTTTCAGGGGCAGAACTTCCGGGAGGGAGGGATCTTAGAGGAGAAGTCTGTGAAGGGTGGCTGCTACTCTAATTTCACTTCAGTACTTGTATAGTTCGGCGAATTCAAGTACATTGTATTTTGAATTATTTTATTAGACGGAGAACACTTTTAATGTTATTATTTTCTCTATATTGCTTAATTTGCTTACGAGAAAATTGAAAATTTTGCATTTCACAAGTATTACTTCTCGCTGATGAATCTTGTAGCAAAACTTAAAGAGGATCTCAGGATAATATATTCCTCTCAGGAGGAATATATATTGTTTATAACAAGTCAAGTAAGTTTTATACAAGCACAAGATACTTACTTTATATCTTCATGATAAACTGATTTTACAGTGTGTCTAAACAGTTTTCTCTTCTGATGGCTAATTCATACACACGTATTCTGAACATAAATTTGTAGGTCTACATCATCAAATACGATGGAACATCTCCTAAGTGCAAGACACTGTGCTGCTATGTTCAAGCACACAGACAAATTCAGTTTTTAACCTGAAATCTGCACAGTATATATGGAATTCATAATAGCAATTAGCCCATATGGCAAATGCTGTCTTGCAGGCTCTGTTCTGAGTGATGCTTGTGTTTGTGGGCACACAGATGCACGCACCAGTAGGCACAGGTGTAGACCTCCCTCCGCTGGCCGGGCAGTCATAGCTCACCTGTTCTTCATAGACAGTGGTCACAATAGGAGGAGTCAAGTCATCAGGCCATATTCTGCCAGCACCAGAGACAGGAGCAGGCGGTGTGCCTACTCTCAGAGCCAGAGCTGGCACCGTGTGTGTGATGTGCAGTTGGATGAGTTTACTAATCCAACTGCGTTTACTAATCCCAGAAGGTACCGTTGCAAAGTGCTATTCCATCAGTGTCACTCAGGGAGAGACAGAGTAAGTGACCTTCAGATATCATGTCAGCCACCACAAGGTTTTAAAGAAAGGCTTATAAGTTTTACTAGATACAAAATAAAAAGATAATAAGGCAAAAGATTGAGAAATTTTAAGAAAAGCTAAAATCAGTAAGTCTCTTAGCTTAATTTTGATTTACACATCCCTAAACTTTTGATATTTTTTTATGTTAGTAAATAGTAAAGCAGCACACAATTTTAAATGTTGTAAAGATATGTTTTATTGTTTTTTCCAGGCTTTAAATAAGTATTTGATATTTCTGTAATATTAATTGAATAATTGTATACTTTATTTTAAAAATCAAGAAGTAAATTCTTAGATCCTTTGTTATAATACTGTATTACTGTATTCCTATGCACATACATATATTTATGCATACGTGTAGTCTCATTTCAAAACAGATTTATTTCATTTCTAGTAAATTATTGAAGATTTTTTCAGCATAATGCCAACGACAATTGATTTCTCTTTCTGTTTCTTGTAAGATCAGAATCCTCTCTTAAATATATTTAAACTCTCAAGCTCTTATATTAAATGGCAACAATTATTTAAATCTAAGACAAAAAGAATGAAATTGGAGATACGGTACTCTATGAATGCTTCTACTACATAACTAAAGACAATGAAACATCGTAGTTTTCTTCATTTGGGTTTTATTATCTGTGTTTGGAGTGTTTTTACCCTGATGTGGCTTCAGGCCAGCACACACCAATGACCCTCCTGGCCTTGAAGGTGCTATCTTCCAGGTGGTCACGGTGCTCATCCTCATTGGTCAGTTTCTGTGCCAGAAGGATTGCTAGATGTTGGAATAATACCTCTTCCTATTCCTGGAATTATTTTATTTATTAAACTCATGGATGCCACTTTCTCAGGTTATGTTATAAATAAGTCAATGAGGAATAATTTAGATTGCCTTTTAGTTTGGAAAGTACATTCGTATTTTAACATGAAGCTATAATAAAAAAAATGAATGTATTCAAAAATCCTTCTGTCTCCCTGAGCCAGTGAGTAGTCGCACTGGGCGGTAGCACCTTTATTCACCGTGTCAGACCCAGCACGCGGTGTGTGGAAGAGCTGATGGGCTGCGGCACTTTGCACACATCCTAGCCATCACCAGTGTTTAGTAATAAACGATGACATTATGAAGTCCGCTGAGGAAAACACACATTTAGAAAAACCATGTCACTGAACATGCCTAGTAATTTAAGTAGAGATAATAACTATCATTTATTTATCAGTTTAAAAAGTCACTTTAACCATAATCACAGGTTTAGATACTTTGATTTAAAGCCATGTGTTATTAGATAATTTGATCTCAATGAAGAAACACCTCTCTCTCTATCCAAACAGTGTCCCAGTAAAACATTTGGCGGATTCGACTCTACGAAGGACCTTCCAGACGATGTCATAACATTTGCAAGAAGCCATCCAGCCATGTACAACCCGGTGTTCCCCATTAACAACCGCCCCGTGATGGTCAAAACGGATGTGAATTACCAGTTCACACAGATCGTGGTAGACAGAGTAGGTGCAGAAGATGGCCAGTACGATGTAATGTTTATTGGAACAGGTACATGTTTTTAATTTGAACTGTACATTTTCATTAAGGACAGTGCTTAATGGGTTACGTATACTAAGATCGAGTTGGGGTTTATAGGCACTTTAAAACATAGTTTACTGCTAGGAAATTACTAAAAAATACCTGAATACTATACCATTACAAATGTGTCATCTTTTTAGACGAGTTGAGGCATATTATTTTAAAATAAATTTCCTTTTCAGTAAAAAGTTGATAGCTGGACAGTAATCCGATAAAGCTAATAATTACCTAAACAAGAAATGTTAGTAATTGAATCATAACTCTTTTTGGCCAAAGATATATTGCTCTTTTAGACCAAAGATATATTGCTCAAACTGTGTCTCAAATACCCAGCACATTCAATAGTGGTTTCAGAATATATCAATGCAAAATTATCAGAACTTTAAAATTATGATATGATGAAAAGATTTCAGCAAATAAATGATAACATCAAAATTCATTCATTGTTTCTGATATACAAGAAGAAGAAAAAAGAGACTTCAGTAGAAAAACAACAAAACTAACCTAACAAATCATCAGATACACTTCTGTAGAAATTTCAAAATAACTTTTTACTAGTTTTATTATTAGAAACAAATTTTTGGAGGTATAGTTTCAGAATTAATTCCTTTATCTTCATTATTGGTACATGTTCTCCTATTTCCCTACTCTTTTGAGTAGTAGGACTACTTGTGAAAGTGCCAGTTACAAATCTGAAACTTGCTACTAAGGGTCAGATTCCGAGGTAATAAATTCCTAGTCTCCATTAACGTTGTTAACTGACATAAATCACTGGAAACAGAGTGAATGTGCCACTGAAACCTTGTGTAATAACATTTACTTTCCCTTGGTGAGAAGCAGAAAAGATTACATTAACTACAGGAGAATGGCCAGTGTGCAGGCCATGTGCTAAAGACTACGTTTTTGTAATGAAATTGTGTAACACTTTGGCTCTGGTTGTAACAGCATCAGGTTCTGCACAATACATTAGCAAATTTTTCCTATCAATTAAAAGGTTCCCAATGAATTTCAGGGTCCCACAAAAGTCAGTGGATTGTGAGCACCAACCTCAGGCCCTAAATACCTTTAGAAAATATAAAATAGTGGGATTTCCCTTCAGCGAGTGTTAGTGTGTGTGCTGATGTGAAGTTCTGGTTGAATGCTCCGCAGGGTGACCTAAGCGCCTTGTTGAGAGGTGACTCACTCACTGTCAAAGCAACAAAGCTTGCTTCCGGGTATTTGACCAAAGAAAGCCAATCATGAGCTTTTAATCCCTCTCTGACACAAATTGTCCTAAAAGGCACCAATTTCACAAGAATGTTGAACATTTGATGATGCATGCGCTTGGCTCTAGGTCATTCCAGACCAGGGTCATCTGTCAGCAAAGTAAATTGATTACAGTAATTTTATCTTTTCACGAAGTTGCACATCACAGTATATTGCTCCTAGTTGAGTAATCTGATTCAATTTGTGTGAAATTGTTTGAAATACTACTCTGTAAAACTTGATCTAGAACACAGATAAAGTTGTGTTGGGTACTGGAGACCTGAAGAGAGGCCCTGGGCAGATTAACATAATTCCCTTTAATCTTCAGTGCTATGAACAGTCTGGGGTCCTGTAAACACAGAAGGATCCTCTTAAAAGAGGGCTTTTCTCTCTAACTTTACAAGGGATGACCTGCAGCCTTTCCTGATGATGTGTAGCACACCGTGCTGGCCCCTTAAAAATGTTATCCGTACTACAAATGCATGGAATTGTTTCTCCTGGCGTAACTGGATCCTCATTGACAAGATTTTCTTCACAATTAGTCTGTTAAAATTGTTTGAGATGAACTACTTGGAGCTAAAATGAATTGATCAAGTTTAGTCAGACTGGAATGTTGAAGGGTAAAACAATAAATTTGAGATGACCCAGGTCTTCATACATGGAATATTAGAAGATTAATGTTGTCTTAACCAAACTTTGAGAAAAATGAGGGCCCCTGAAAAATTAGAAAAAATCTCAACAAAATGTGTTCAACTTGTTTACAGTTTATGCTTCTGAATTTTACATTTCTTTCATGCTTTACAATTAATTAAGTAATGTGTGAATTATTGAAGGAAGTGGTCCTAGGCTTTTATTTTGAGGCTGGGGTACTATTGGTCACCACCTCCTGAGCCTGGAGGCTCTGTGGCCTCAGCCCCCAGGCTCTCAGGCCCAGCAGCAGATGACCCAAGGCCACCGCTTGCTGCTTGACCGCATTCCTTGCATTTCCTGTCCCTGCTGAGTTTTCCTAGTAGCTCCCAGGTCAAAACAAGAGTGGAAAAACCTTGGAGTCAAATCGGGATTATTCTTAGTTTTTTTTTCCTAAGACACCTGATGGTTAATGGGTTTTTTAAAAATACGCATAAAATAATTCAATCTACCCAATTTCTGTATTGGCTTGCATTTCTTAAATTATGCAGTTTCAGTTAAAACTTTCATCAAATCTTAATATATTTCTAAATTTTCATGTTTTATATTCCAAGGCAATCATTCTATAGTTTGTAAATTGCAAGCGATGCATTTGAATGTGTATGGTTTACCAATACTTTGACAAAAAGAACTAATGAGAAGGAAGAATGAGGTCCAGATTTCCTTTTTGAACAAATCCTAATTCCCTCCACTAACACTAAATTCTAATCGGACCTATTTGAATGGTGGTCTTCTCCCATGCTTTCTCTTGTAGATGTTGGGACGGTTTTGAAAGTCGTCTCCATTCCTAAGGAGACCTGGCATGATTTAGAAGAAGTTCTGCTGGAAGAGATGACAGTTTTCCGGGTGAGTGCTGCTTAATTTCAAGTGTCAACAAGTTCAGTTATGGTCTCTCCCCCAGGACAGCTGGCGCTGGACTCAGCATGGACAAGCAGTCTGGCATGCCCTTCTAATTAGCTTGTCAATTCAAAAGCCAGACACTAGTCAAAATAAACCTTGAAACTTTCAATGCTAGTTAAATCTAAAGAGGTAAGGAAATATATTCCCGGCTCATATTTTGTTTTCTCAATGATAAAATATATGATTTACATTTTATATTATTTACCTAAGTCACCTCAGTGAACAAATTCCTCCCCCACCCTCTAAAAATCTCTTCTCTCGCACTTTCTGCCACAACTGGGCTAATGTGTAACTTCTGTGGAAGCAGGAAAGGAAATCCATTCAGCATGGCAGAATAATGAAGGCATTTCGAACATGTTTAGCTTATGCATTTTTATCATGTTTTCTGAAGGAAATTATTTGCTAGCAAAATCTGAGTTTTCATCACGAGCAGCAAGTTGGTTATAGATGCCCACTCGGCACCCTTAAGAAATGTAAGATGCGTGTCCTTTCATCCTGAGTCACCAGGGACCGCCTGGGTTTGGGGCGTGCTGGTGCCCTTGGGGTAAAGTGCAGGACGGGGGGAAGGGAGAGGGGACAGCAGGGAGCCCCCTGTGTGTGGGTGTGGTGTCTCCTGTCCCCGCGGAGCCTCCCGGGAGCAATGCGAATCGCAGCACACTCTGACGTGACAGAGAAGTGGATTCCTACACAAAGTATTCTTCTAATATTTTGATACAAGCATGGCATGAACACATTTTGAGACATTTATATCTGCAAAATAAATTGAATTGGAAGAAACAGGTAGACAGAAGAATGGGGAAATCTTGGATCTAATCTCACAACCCCACATGACCTCATTTAGTCTCTGGTGGCTCAGAGAGTTTGTCTATAAAATGTAGAGGCTGGATTAATGTTCAGTTGATTCCATGCTTCATGGTGAACAAACTCACCCAGAGCCCTCCTAGCCAGTATTTCTATGCCAGTGTACTGACCCGACAAGCACTTGCTCACTGCTCAGTACATATTGGAGAGAAAATGGAGAAAAACATGCTGAGTTCCTAATAAGCATTTATTCCATTAAAATCATGATTGTCTTCAAAACATGTACCTGTGCTCTGCGACCCGGAGGTTTGTTAAGAAGCTAACAGAGTTCTAGGGGAGCGTTTAGGTGCCCCAGTCAGGCTCTAGGATGGCTCCATGAGGAACAGGAGACGCAAGGGTCCCCGCCATCACAGAGTGACAATGATGGCTCTGTCCTGGAGCCCCAAGAGTTAGAGACCTCACATTTCAACCCCCAGGGACTGTGGCAGGCACTGTGATCAAAACGTGCAGCTAAAACTATTTCACTGTCTTCATTTATGGAATGTAAAATTTCCAGTAGGCATTTCTACTAATCCATGGGTTATGTTTTCAAAATAATAAAATCTTCATAATTCTGATTTTTAAAGTCAAGTGCTTTCGCCTTTTGATAATACCGGGTATAGAGTGTTGGTTAATCTTTATCATTTATCGTGTCCCATAAGTGACCTCGATGAACAAACACTTTGATACTTTAGCATATAAATTTTAAAAATACAATTACCCAAATGGACTGTTATCCACTGTATAATCCATTGAGACTTAGCAAACAAATTATAGGCATTGGAAGTGGATTAATAAATTGCTGCCTTATGTCCATTGTCAGATCTCTGGAGCCTAAAGTATATGTTCAATCAATGTTCATTAAATGAATGAATGAAGCAATATTGAAGCAAAAATGAAAGATGAGAAATGAAAGTGTTTAAAAGCTTCCTCAAGGAGACAATACTTACAGGAAGATGAACTAGATACATCAGCAAGCTGTCCCAGTGATCTGCTCCCATACTATTTCCTAATAGACAGGAAGCTTAATTAACTCCATATGTTTAGATATTCAGATTTCCTCCACTGTTCAAATGAAGTTACAGAGATGCTAACATAGGTTATCTTAGGAGCATGTTAATTATTTCCTGACTCTGTTTGTGTTAGTCATGGTTCTTTTGCACATTTCCCTTCAGTTCTCATACATTCTTAAAATAGAGTTCATTTATTAATTTATCAGCAAATAAATAGACATCCATGTCTACCATAGTCCTGGCCCACGCAAGGTTCCGGTACCACAGAGATAAGTGTTGTAAACGTGGCCCTGCACTCTCCGGGTTTACCAGCTCATACGTGGTGTGCCTTGTGGTTTCAAGGACTGACTTTGTTCGGGACTGTTTTAGTGCAATTAATTTTTTTTGCATTTTCTGAAATCACATCTGGACCTTTAATTATGGTGTTCTCTTATCATTTAATTTCCTTCTTTTACTAATGTTCTTCGGGATATTCATAAAAATTTCTCTTTAAAAAATTTTTGATTTAAGCTGGGCTGTTAAAATGCCCTTCAACAAAATCATGAGATGCTCAAAGCCAATAATTTTACAAGGTATTTAATAGTCATTTTTCTTTACAAGTACACAATCTCTTAACTTATAGCTGTGATAACTGAAGCACAACACTTGTGTGGTGTTTAAGTTATCTTGAGAGAAATTCTCTGTAGTCTGCAACAATTATGTATAAACAACATTGTGCTGGCACGGAAATGATTGTTTAGCAGTCTACAGCTTTATAAAACAAGGTTTTTCTTGCAACCAAAAACACATCTCCTTCTCCTGAAACCATCTAGCTTTCTTCCATATTCTTTGCTATGCATATCGTCATTTTTATTTCTTTGACACTCACGTAGACAAAACATATTTGGGCAGAGTTTAGAGAAATATTTACCTTCAACGTTCTCTTCTATCAGGCAAAGTTCATACATATATTGTGGTCTAGCAATTGGAATATTTCACTGTCAAACTTTGTTTAATTTTTCCAGTGGAGAAAAAAAACACAACACATTAAAGTGCTAAGCCATGTACAGTGAAACAGTGGAAAGGACGGAGAAATGTGACAGTATCTGTTTCCATGGAGCTGGGATCATTCCATTTAAAGTAAAACAAGATAAAATAAAAGCTCAGCCTGAGCATTATCATAGTTTGACAAGGTAAATAGACAAGGTAGAGATCTAGGGTCATGTTTGTGCCTGATATTCTTGGGTTTAGACACACGCAGCCACATGCTCACATGTATACACACACACACACACACACACACACACACACACACGGATGCAGACATTTGTGTTAACCAATCTGTTAATTTCCCCATGTTCTCATCTCCAAGAGGCCATGCCCCTGCTGGGCAGAATAAGCAAACCTCATGTAAACTCCTGGATTGAATCCTGTACCACCATGCCGGTCACCATTTTGAGGGTGGCTTTAGGAAAGCATTCCAGGTAATCACAGAATGTTCCAGGGGCTTCCATTACAGGAAAGTTACTTTTATTCTAGGTGAAATCAAATCCTAGTCAGTCTCACAAGAAAAATATTGGTTGGTAATAAGAAAATTTCCATTATAAAGCAAAATTGTTATTAATAGGTGATAAGAGGCAAAATACAATCAGCAGTTACAGGACTCAAGAAATGACTGATTTGCCATTAAATATTCAAAATGGAATTAAAGTGCTGAGACACTGCCTGATGCCAGATGCGATGTGCAGTCACAAATATGAGCTTCTACCATCTTTACTGGGATTCTGAAGAAGCTGGTTAGAACCCACCAAGCCTCAATGTCCTCTGTACTTGAGGGTTGTGATTCTGAACACTTCTTCAGTTGTTCTCCTGAGATCAGTCTCCCTAGTAAGTGGTGACTATTGTTCACTGTGAGGCACATGAAAATCTGGTTTACAGTGCTTGAAAACCCCATAAATATACACTATTTTTAAAATACTTAGAAGCTGTAGGACCCAGACACGCGCTGGTTTTGCTTCAGTCGGCGTGGCCCTTTTCTCCCTGTCCGGCCCAGGTGGGCTCCAGGTGGGCCCTGCTCCTCTGGTTCGGTGCCCCAGGACGAAGGTCCTTGTTTACACTCCTGTTGACTGTGAGGATTGCAGCATGGTCACGTCAATAACGCCGGCACTTCAAACCCAACTTAGGCAATATCAATATTCCGGGAACAGCTGAGCAAACAAATGAGTTTAATTTCCATTCAAATGTGAAACATAATTGATGGTTTCCAAAACCTCGCTTATTAACTCATGCTCAGGGAGCATCCACATGCTTCGCACCCGGCAAGCTGCAGCAGAATCGCCTGGGATCAGTAGGTTGAGCAGCTTTGCAAGTGCAAAGCAAAAGTTTAATAAGGTCTGAATTAAAATATCTGGAAAAGTACGTAAAATTAGAGTCACTGAAAATCTTGCAAAGATGCTAAGTTTTTAATTTCATTTTTACATGAACACCAATTGAACTTGCAATTGAAACCAGTTTTGTAAAAAACGCTTATGAAGCTACATCTGTTTTAAATGAAAGTCACATTCGCCACCAGCAATTTCTCTGAAAAAGTATAGCTTATTTAAATGGATGGCATCTTAACATATTTTCCATTAAAATTCAACTACAAGGAGTATATAACCATACTTTTCCAAAGGGCCATTAATTTTCTGGCCTAAATAAAAAACAAGTTTGTATTAATGAAGAGATTCTAGGACCTTAATTTAAGAATGTTGAGGTCATAATATGATACCATGGAGACTGATGTGTGTTAGGACATTTTTCATTTTTTTGTCCTGTTTTATAATTGGTTTCCATTTGCCTTATCTAGATTTTTGTGTTTGCAAAGAGCATAAAATAAACGAGTATTAGTCAATTTCATTTTTATAAAGAACTTAGACATAGCTAATTTTCACTTCAATTATACTAGCTGTTAAGTTTTCTCTAAGAAGTGTTTCCTTTGCACCTTGAATGTAAAGTTTCGTGAAAATCTGCATGAAGGTAGCTGATTATATAATTCCATAACTATTTCTCATGTGACCTCTTTGGAATGGAAGATATTGCCATGGAAGATTTTCTAAGGCTTTTGATGAATTTATTCCAATATTGTACAAGCCTAAATCTCATCTTCAGCTTTATCTTTCAAAGCTGAGTATGTTTGATTAACTATTCCCTTTATTTTTTCTGATTCAATGCTACTAAATGCTAAAGATCATATCCAAATAGAGATAAAATCTAGTGACATTACTTTCATTACATTGCTCTTTATGGTTGATAATACCTATGAAAAGTTGTTTAATAATTAGTATCATTCATTTAAACTATAAAAATAGAAAACTATTGGAAATCTCTAAATTATTGCAGTATCTAGTACATATTCTACATCCTTTGTCTCATTTTTCTCAGGCAGGTCATGTTAAATTTGCTACGAAAACCTTGCTGTCAGCTCAGCCATTCAGGGTGAAGACAGAGATTTGGGATTCCGCCACCTAGAGCCAGTAATTAGCCGCAGAAGAGAGGATACGCTCAAGGAGAAGAAAGCAGTGTCCAAAAATGAGTAGGAAGGTGCAGTCAGTGGCAGGCATGTGCTAGGGTGGCTGATGGTTAAAAGCTGTGTGCCAGGCTCAGGGAGAGAATCAAGGAAGGATTCCGAGGTGCCGTGGAATGTAACAGAAGAGGTAGTCAAGAAGTACTGAACGGTGTTGCATAAAATACAGAACTCCATCAAAGCAGTTCAGCCAGAAAAGCACCCACTTGGCAGCCCAGGTTCACGGGTGATGTGGGTTTCTGAGGACAGCAGACTCCTCTCCACAGGACGGGCTAGACTGGGGGTGACATCAGATGGCAGTGACCACAGTGCTCAGACTACTGCTTAGAGAATCGCAGCTAAGCGAGAAGGACTGAGGACAGACACTGCAAGAGGCCGCTGCCTTGATGTTATAGAGATAAAATGGAAAGAAGAGAGCAGTAGTGGAGACGGTTGAAGGGAGAGGAAAGGGGAAGATTGTTGGAGACATCATTCATCGGCTCTCCTAACAAGTATTCATTGATAACTTGCAAATATCATGTGTAATTGTAGGTGTTAAGGGCCCGGCACTGAACCAAACAGCCCGAATCTCGGTCTCAAATTGAGGGGGACAGTTGATAAACCCTGTAAGACAGTGCTGCTGTCCCTCCTCCTGTCCTGTCAGCCTTGTCCTGCTTCCTCCGGGGTCTCTCTCTCTGCCCCAGGCCCTGTCTGACGGGACACCCACAGTCCAGTGAGCTACACTGAGGAGCTGGTGATCTGATGCCTGAGCGATAGAAAGGCAGGGTTTGTCCTGATCTAAATAGCTAAGCACGATGCTGAAAGACATCATCTGTCAGATTTGCTCATAGGTGATTTTCCCACCTTTCTATCAGTACTCAATTCTCCACCCTGGATCATGCTTCAGGCTCTACCTTGGGGTGGAAGAGGGAAACTCACAAGATTCTAGATAAATTGTAGGCAGATAAATAGATGATGGGGATATCAGTCCCAGCTGAAACCCAAGCAACCAGCTTCTTAGCCATGTGTTATCTCAGGTGAATGAGACAGTGGACGAGGTGGCTGGGAGTGGGTCTAGAGGACCAGGGTGTGGTCAGCCCCACAGCAGATGTCAAATGTCATCACGGTGAAAGATGCATTGTTATTACCCCCTCTGCTTGGAAAAGCTCTCATTGTTCTTGCCACTTTCTGAAGCAGTTCTGGAGTCCTCTTCTGTGAGTGTCTTCAGGAGGGAGACATGACCACGAACACAGTCAGCACTGCAGCTGAGCGCTGTCCGACAGAAAGGCGGGCTCAGGAAGTGTCACCGAGTGCTTCAGCCGCCATATTCATCGGATCTGGTGACCTGTGACCCCTGGATCTTCTCTAAAATCAAAATGTGAATCGGTTCAGGACATCAAAGCAGCCATGACATTGCACACAAAGACACTCATGAGAGAGGACTCCAGAGCTGCTTCAGAAAGTGCCAAGGACGAGAGGATGAGGGTGTTTGAAGAGAGGGGAGGATTGTGAGGGGAATTCATGGCAAGGTGTCTTTTAGGGTAATAATTTTTAAATTTAAGTATTCACCATATTGTCCCATCACACTGTAAGCTAATGTCTTCAGTGATGTGGCTCGTAGTGGTCTACATGTATGGAGGAGCAGTCTGAGCTCACTCGGAGTGCGCTCCACCTTGAACAATCAACCAGGTTCCTTGGTGATGGTTACTCCTGGTGACCGTTTGTTACTCCACGTTAGCACGTCCATGGTGCTGACCAGGTTGTATTGTTGGGCAAAGACCTGAATTACACACGGGACTCAGTCATCGCGATAACAAAGTCAGCTCGTCCCAGCTGAGTTCTTGTGGTCCTTCACGGCTGGAACCGGGCCCCGCATCCATCGGTGGTGCCAGGAGCTGACCTGGCCCGTTCAGCCAAGCCCCGGTGCTCCGCAGTTAGAGACGAACACTTCACAGATCGCCCACAATGGCCACAATGGCCCGCGCTGAGCTACACTCCATGCAGTGCTCAGGGCTGAACACAGATGAAACACGAACATCTGTCCAAGCCATGCAACGACCGCGTAGCCCCTGTCCTGCCCACCACGAGAGACGGCCACATCTGTACCATCACAGCTGGAGCTTCCCTCTACCTTCCCACCTTCTGAATGATTCGTTGAGGACGACTTGGCACAGGCTGACCCTGGCTCTCACACAGCATCCAAGGCAGAGAAAGCCGCACTTCCATTAGCCCTTCTCCAGTCACCTAGCACTGGCCGCAGCGCGTCAGCCCCTCCTCCGAGCAGCCCCAGGTCCAGTGCTGCTCGGCCAGCTGCAGCTGCGGACCCCGGGTCTTCGGCAGGGCGACGCGGGGCTCTCACTGCCAGCCCACCCACGTGACCCTGACGTTTCTTCCACGTGTCCTATTTTGCAGTTGTATTACTGTGTGCGGGCGCTGGAGTTTTCTCTCCGAAATGTTTTATTTCACATGCCTTACTTAATGAATTAGTGACTGCCTCTTCTCACTGACCCAACCCTTTCATGTTTTCTTCTTCAGGAACCAACGCCTATTTCAGCAATGGAGCTCTCCACTAAGCAGGTACTGTCGTGTGTCACAGTCCATATCATTTTAGCTGTACAAGAAAAGTGGCGCAAGAAAAGAAATACCATTCTTAAAATAAGCTGGTGGATTTTAAACTGAAAATAGTTTTCTTTTCCCTTATGTTTTTGGTAAATATCATCTGTATCTTTTTTTTTTTTTGGTACCGGGGATCGAACTCGGGTCCTTGCGCTTGCGTAGCAGGCAGCGAAACCACTGAGCTAAATCCCCGGCCCTAACATCTGTATCTTACAAACGTATTTCCAGAATCATTATTTAAATTCACATCATCCCTTTTTCAGACATTATCATATAATTTACTTAATACTTAAGTTATTTTCATCCTTTATGAATTATATATATGGACTTCAAAACTAGCATTAGTGGCTATTTGAGAATAAATTTTTAATTTAATTTAATTTAGAATATGTAAACAAAATATAAGCTAATAAAATTAAGCAATTGCAATGTATGGTTGGACAATCGACTTAAAAGTTAATTTTACATTTTCATTAGTATTATGTACTAGAAAAAACAGAATGTGACTTTAAATTTGGCTAAACATAAAAGGAAAATAGAAAAATAGTGTCTCCTCAATGATAAATTTATTAAAGACAGAATATTAGGTTCCCTCCCATGCATATTGAATGAATATTCTGGCAAGACGTTTTTAAAAGTATGTGACTTCTAAATACTGAGTAATATCCACAACACTTAAGGCATTTAAATTCCTAACAAATTTCCTTTTCCTATTAAATGTTACCTAGTTTTTACTCCAGTCTATTAAGGTTTACTTACAAAGAAGTTTGGCCACTGAGTTGGATTAATTATCGGTAATTTAAAAGAAAAATCCAGAGTGAAGTAACATGCCTCTCACACACACACCGTAACATACAAGATCACTTGGCCAACGTGACCCCTAAACTGCGCTCTGTGTCTGGGGTCTGCTTCTCTTGTACCCTCTCACAGTTTTTCCCTGGAAGGAAGCACTACATTCTTGTGCCAGTGGAACCCAGCACATGTCCTTTTCCCATAGACACACCAAAATAGACCGCTAATCTCCCAGACACTCAGACCGGCTCAGCTCACAGAGCGTTGACCCGATACTGTCATCTTACCCTTCATGAGTATGTGCTCACCTGTTCTTGGAATCTAAAAGTTGTCACATGTTGGCAAGGAAATCCGGGGATTTCCAGGATGTAAGCTTGACTGGGATATCCTTTCCTGTAATGATTTTTTAAATTATGTATTTATTCTCTGCTAGGCTTCATAGCCCAGCCTAATTACATTACCTCCACATTTAGTTTGGTAAAGTATTTTCTTTTTGTTTTAAAATGTTTAAAGCTACCTAAAAGATTCTCTACGAATTCAAAATTTCACCACCAAGCAAACTGAAGCAGTTTATGAATTGAAAATATCATTGTAGAATAGTGTCCCTAACCTACACTTTCCATTTTCCATTTCTGGAAGATATTCGATTCTATGCAGATAGGACTCGATTTTATTCATGCTTTTAGGCATCTTTTGCAGTGAGGCAGTATTTTCAAAAGGGGCAAGTAGTGCTAGGGCTGCTTTTCTGGGTGAATGCACACAGGTCCTGCTCTGGGCCCCTTGTGACAGAGATGGATGAGAGGCCTGTGATGCTGCTAAGCTGGTTGGAGACACATCGTGCTGGTGACAAGATTATGCTCAGTGACCCTGCAATACCCCCTGTGTTTCACTTGGGTAGCACTGTATTATTTTTGCACATTATAAATAATCCTGCAGAATGACAACAAAATGGAAATAATATTTAGTTGCATTAAATATTTGGCATCTTTAGATTTTCATTACAATAATTTCAGTTGTCATATTTTTGCTTTTCTATTCTTCCTATGCATTATTTCTCTGTTTTAATCCTAGAGAATTGTGACGGATTTAGGTATTTCAGTTGGATAATTTTTTCCTTCTCAAATGTCATATACCCTAAGTCTCTAAGTATGAATTTTGTTTATGATTCTTGGCAGTTAATGGCCCGACACACAGAACTCTTTGCTGTATCACCCATTCGGTCAGCAGTTTTTAAACTAGTCAGGACTGTGGAACCCAGACTAGCACGTCCATATCCACTACTGCTGATCATGCTTCTAGATATTTGCTAGAACATTCCACAGGATTCCCTTTCTGTTTAAGCATTATGGATGTTTCATTTTATGTCACTGAAATCGCTTTGTTCAATATAATCTAACTTCATTTAAAAAAAACCTAAAGAGTCTAATGAAAGGCAAACGAAAAGGAAGGAAAAAATATTTTACTTTTCCTTCCAGAGATTTACCCATAAATCCTTAATTTGTCCTGGCTTTTAGCATCATTGAATATAAACTAAAGTTGAAAACAAGAACAAAGTGGAATATAGTATACAGTTGAGCATCTAGTAAAATATACTGTAATTTTATTTTTCTATTTGCAATAATTATCAGGATAAATGCTTCCACATGGTTTAGTTTTGGTGGCATTACTCTTCCCCTCTTATTTTCCTTTTTTATAGTAAATTCTAAGTCTATTGGTTGGCTTTAAGCACTGAACTATTTTTACATAAACACTCCCTATAACCTTAATAATTTCTGAGATTCTGAAGGCTACTTCAATGTGCATTCAACTTATTTGCTTATTTTTATAAGTAGCTCATGAATGAAAGTCTTTGGAAAAGCATGTTAATTATTAATCATTTCTGAATATTAGGCAATTTGTAATGTTACAGAGAATGCCATTATTTAGAGTGCGGCTTTCTGAAAGGAATTAAGATTCGGTTTTGAAGTCTTATACCTGTGTATTATTACATGTTTCAGTGTTTGCATACTCTTTAAGACAGTACAAATAATCAATCCTCTAGTGCAGAAAAAGCTATAGTACAACTACAGTACATGTTGGATAAATCACAATTTTTTTTTTTGTCTCAGGCTGTGTTTACATAATTTTGAGGCTGACATGTTACATTGGCTTAAGTTTGTTCAAGCATTTCGAACGTTGTACAAAAATTCTAAGATCATAGCTGCTACAAGGTTTTCATTTTCTCCTCTTTGTAATTCTCCGTTTTATGGTTCACTCAGCTTGTTGGTCAGCGTTCCTGTCACCCAGACGCAATACCTGACATCACAATCTAAAAGAGGAGAGGTTTAATTCATTAATCTGGTTTTCGAGGCAGGGTCTCAGTGTGCAGTCCAGGCTGGCCTGGAGCTTCCAGCGGTCCTCCTGCGCCAGCCTCCCAGTGCTGGGATTGCAGGTGTGCCCAGCCCGCCTGGCGGAAGGATTCACTTGGCTCAAGGCTTCAGAGGGTTCAGTTCGCGTTCCACGGGCACAGCGCCCTGGAAGGATACGGAGCAGAGAGCTCAGCTCGGGGCGCAGGGCGGCGGAGCAGGTCTGCCCCGCCCACGCGTGGGCCTGGGCGGCAGCCGCGGGGTCTCGGTCGGCTGCGGCAGCGCTGCCATGGGCGGGACGGCTGGGCTGCAGCGGCGCACTCGCTTCTCCCCACAGCAACAGCTGTACCTGGGCGCGGCGGCCGGCGTGGCTCAGCTGCCCCTGCACCGCTGCGACGCCTACGGCCGCGCCTGCGCAGAGTGCTGCCTGGCCCGCGACCCCTACTGCGCCTGGGACGGAAACGCCTGCTCGCGCTACTTCCCCACGGCCAAGAGGTAGGCGGGCGGGCGCGCGGGCGCGGGGAGGCGGGGGGCGCGCAGGGAGGCGGGCGGGCGGGCGCGCGGGAGGGGGGGAAGGAAGGCGGGCGCGCGCGGGCGGAAACTGCCGACGCGTCCCTCCGACTACGCACACTTTTATCCAAAATGCTGCTTTTTTCTATCCAGCAACACCGTTTCCGCATCTTAATAAGGAAATTTATGTTTCTGAATGAACAGAAAATTCTGAGAAAGGAATTTATTTATCTTTGGTGTTTTACAGAGCACACGAGAATGCAGTCATTAAAAACTCAAGATCTTTTTCTAGATTGGAAAATACCACATTTTTATGTGACATCTATAATTCTGATTAATTGTCATCCCAGAAGGTTATTTTTTTTGACCCAAGAAAATGTAAATGCTAATACATTAGCACTGCATCGTCCAGTGTTTACACGGTTCGATTAGAAATATAGAGCCACGTTCTAAAATGTCCATCTTCTGCATATATATAGTACACATACATTTGAAGTATATTCTTGATAGTACTTGAAAGTATTTTGAGCAGAATTCTTGAACAAAAGTTACCAAGTTATATCTAGAAAGTTACCTGCAACAACACGTTTAGATGAAATGTAACCACAGGTTACTGCCTACGAGCCCGAATGCATTAGCAACAGATGCTTGGTCAATTCGTGGAGTTCAGCTGGCGGGAAACACGGTTCCGTAGAGAACTGGACAGACCCTAAAAGGTACTGACAAATTGGTTTTCCTTTTAATAAAGGAAACACTTGCATTATTTGTAAACAAAGTAATCCTCTCCACATACCCCTTCTCTTCATTGACAGCTGTCTTTATTGATATTTGCCAGTGTTTAAGAAAGGACAGATATAGAGAAAGGTAATGCACAGTGTCTTGTAAAGACAGGGACCTAAATATTAAGCACTGCACATCGACTCGTTGAAACAGCGTAGAAACCAGCATTACCAAGCCCCTGCATGTGAGAGCGGTATGCTTTGTTCTGCTTCTTTTCTAGTGTGCCTAATGCTTTCAAAGAAAGTATGAGTGTAACTTTTTCATAGCTAGTAAGATATGTCCTACCAGGTTGGGATTACTTTAAATGATTAGAAAGAGGAAAGAAAGTCATAGTCACTAGTTAAATATTTTCATTACAAATTTTAAACAGCATTGAGTGTTAAACAATCCACAACTTAAGTTTGTGGTGTAGATTAGAACACAGTATCAGGTTAACATGAAATGTAAATATAGTACTGACTATGATCATATTTAATATACAGTTTCTTGAGCCTTCAGCAGTCCAAATAGACATGACAGCATCTCATCCTTGAGATGCTTTGTATTGCTTCCAAATACCCATTGATTTTGTTAAAATTTTCAATTTAAAAAATGTGAAAATAATATTTATTGATTAAAGGAAACATGAATAGTTTAATAAATAGTACTATGCAGTCTTCACAGCAATAATGCTAATAGTTTAGATTGAAATTATATATTTCTTTAAAAACTTAGCTCTAAGGGCCATTTTGTTATTCAAAACATGGAGAATCCATGTTTGAATTAAAATTGAATATTATTTTCTTTACAGGGAAAAGTGTGAGGTATTGCTTAATAAGTAACTATTTAAATGTTAAGCTTAATAAGGAAGAAGATAAAAGAATATCCACTTTATAATAAGTTAAAATCTATGTATTATGTATTTGTAAGTGTTTATTGTATACCTACAGTTCCAGATTGAAGGATTTTTCCATCAACACATTTTCGTATGCCTTACAGATTTCATTTAATCCAATTTCATTTGACTGCCACTCCTTCATTTGAGAAGAGTGTTTAGAGGCCTTTTGACTTACATATTCTTAGGATGCCATTTTTCAAAAGCTTAAATTGCAGTGCAAAATGCCCAAGTGCTTTCTGGCTCCTATTTCACAAGTTCTCTTATTGGCTCAATTTTCAAGTGTGCAACATCTGTTTGATAGCCTCTCTGATTCTGCAAATAGAACTCTATAAATACTTCAGACTTCTAAATTTATGAATTTAGTAACAAATTCCGTATTTGCAGTTCTGAATAGTCTTTGTGAGGGTGCTTTCCAGACGAGGGCCCAGCAGGCCGGGTGGCGTCCTCCCTCCCCATCTGCAAGACCATCAGAGAAGAGGGTGAAGAGATCGTCCCCACTCTGGAGGCTAATGTGCTTGGAGCCGCAGGATAGAGAGGACATTAATGTTGATTTTTATGGGCAAACATAGACAATACATTTCTCCTCTCTTACCATCCTCCGGCAAAAAGGCCTTACCCTTAGCTCCAACATTTATTGTGTTTTTTTCTTTTATTCAGTTCACAGATAAATTGATTTTTATTCATAACTGTATGAAAATTAAAGAAATGTAAAATCATTAAATTAATAAATTATTATCATCTAATAATGCAAGAAGAAGTTTTAAAAACTAACTTAAAGAAAGAATGGCCAGTCTTAATATTTTAAAAATTGACAAGTTTATTTAAGAAACTATGGATACAGACTAAGACAAAGGTAACGATTTGAATGTGAGTGTTCAGGCTTCCTCCCACAGTAATGGTCAGAAATCAGGGTTAGTTCTGTTTGTTGAGGAAACGGACCACTATTCCAAATTCGAGGAGTTTTTAATTTGGGGAGTTTTTTCTTAGAAGTTAATCCTAGAGTTCGTGGAGGCTAAGATTGTTATTTTATTGCAAAAACGCATTTTTTGCCCTGTAGCGTAAAAGGCTTAAATCATCATTTGTGCATCTGCACGCTTGCTTCTCGGTTTAACCATTGCTCTCAAAGGTACGTGAGCTGCTTTCTGTCAGACGCAAATGCATCTCTCCCTATAAGTTCCTGGAGACTCTGGTGCAGGTGTTACTTCTGCGTCGCTCTTATCACCAGCATCTCAGAAGGGCCGCAGAGCTTCAGTAATGTCTCTTACTTACACTTGTTTTAGACGCACAAGACGACAGGATATACGAAACGGAGACCCGCTGACGCACTGCTCCGACTTACAGCACCCCGGTGAGTCCCGGCCTCCACTTTAGACCTGGTGTGCTAGGCTCTCACGACACTCGTTCACACCACCTCACACTCACACGACACACGCGTCTCTGCTGAAGAGAACTGGAGAAACACGGCCAGGCCAAGGGACAGCCCAGCAAAAAGAAAATACTAAGGCACACAAAGCACAGAAAAGTGTTTTATTACCATAGATGTGATGAAGTCAAGATTTTAGATACCCATGAATCTAAAACAGCTCAACTTTCTCGTCTTTACAAAAAGAAACCAGGTTGAAGTATATATCTTATAAATAGTAGCAACTTGAGAGTAGGCGATAAGAATGTTCATTGAAATGTATCAAAGAAGAAAATAGTCTTAAAATTAGCCATGAGAATCACCCATTTGTATGCTGACGGCGTAGACCCGATACACTGTCTTCGTGCTCAGGGAAGGGACATCACGGTGGTCTTCATGTTGAACCACTGGTCAGATATGCAGGTGGATTCATTTTAGGCTTCTTAGAAGATGGCAAGACCCGTCTGATGTCAAGGTTGTTTACTTAATGCTGAAACATCAACTCATTTTTATTTAAAATCCAGTAAAATTGTCCTAATAGCTCATTCTGCCCACTTCAACCTTTTATGTAAATAATAATGAAGTTGCGCTGCCCTCTGCTGGACAAGCTTGTTAATGACATAGCTAATGAACAGTTCTTAATTACAAATGCCTGAAAGCCCAGGGTGAGCACTGAAACTGAACATAGTGATCCTGTTGACCTTTACTCAATCCTAAAAGCATCCCTAATGCTTTTATTAATGTTGTGTAGAATCCCATGGTTAATGAACATTAGGAAAGCATTGCCACATGTAGCTCCCAGTCGGCATCCCAGTCTAGTTCCGTCCTGAAACAAAGCTCCTCCTGCCCCATCCTCAGCGGGTGCAGGGTGCGCAAACCTGACTTTTATGGGGCTGATGCCTGATTTTTTGAGAGATGACAACAGCAGGACATGGTAGCCGTAAGGGGACAGTGTTTCAGAACTAATTTGCTTGCAAATTTTCTCCCCAAGGGCTCTTCTGCAGGTTACTGTCCTCATTGTAAACAGAGAGGAGACCACTATGGCTGTGGGTGTGGTACCCTCATGGACACACCCTCCCTAAATTACTTAAGTGGTGCATTTCAGTCAGACACCTATCTTCCATCTATTTCATGTAGAACTATTGAATTGTGATCAGCACCATTTCATTGAAGGACTATGAAATGTTAATTCATCATTTCAGAGAATCTATTTGCTTAGATATAGAGAGTTAAAGATAACAGTTGGAAGTAAAAATACAGAAGGATGTGATTAAAATTCATTTCCAATCAGACTTTAATCTTCATGTCAATATGAACTTTGTTATTTTGTTGATGCTATATTTCTAGGGCAACACCAGATTGTAACACCATGAAGGTGGTAGGTATTCAATAAATATTTCTGGATGAATGATCTAAGGACTTCAACTACAAGATAGGGAGTTACTTTGCTATTTTTTGCAAATCAATTAAATGATTACCATGACTCACACAACATCATGTATGGAGCACTGTGCTATGGTGAGAGGTTATATACTCCTACTGATACAGCCACTTGTTCACCAGTGTAGTTTCTTTATAGATGCAATTGTATTCAAAAATAGTATCTATGCTGCAGTTATGAGTGTCTGTCCAAAAAACCAACGAAAGGGAATCCTGGAAATGTAAGTCTGTGGTGGAGAACTTGGCTAGCACTAGTGAGGTCCTCACTTCAAACCCCAGTGCTGGGAAAAAAAAAATTGAGGGTGGATAATTAAGTATTGTTGCTCATCCACTGAATGGACTTTAGACAGGATTTCAGGTTATAAAGATGTGTTTTGGTGAAGAAAACTGAGTAACATCTGGGAGAACTGGGCATTAGAATTGGTTAGTTTGGGAAAGTAAAGAAATGCAAGCGAAATTTTCTTCCATTCCTTAGATCAGAATACATACCACATAGAGTCAAGGAATTGGTGTATTTAATGTTACTGCATCTGTGTGTGCGGGTGTGGGTGTGCATGTGTGTGTGAACAACCCTACTTGCTTGAGATACAGGGGAGGAGAGGGCAAAATAGCAGAGTGAGCTGGGCAGTGCCAAAACGCTGTCTTTTGGGAAGGGTTCTTTATTCCTTCCCTGCCCCTGTTGCTGATTGACCAACAGCCCATGCACACCATGGACTGCAGTGGACATCACCTGTTTGGAAACCAAACCATGCATTCCAACTTGGCCCGCCCAACCTTACCATAGGACTCGGTGTTCTCTCTTGGAACAGTCAGTGGCAACATTTAAAAGTCAAATGGGCAGTAGTCCAGAGCCCAGCCATGTTAAACCATGGACACTGTCTTGCTAATGTCACTTCTCACATTCAGTAAGGTGTATGTGCTCATATGGAAACATAAAGACAGGAGATGTTTGCACAGAAAGCTGCTAAGCAACGTGAAGCCAAATTACACACTTCAGCCTGATCATTTCCATCTGTAATGGTAAACATATTTGGTAACACTTTATATTTTACATATCCTGAGGTTTTAATACAGAGGCTATCATAAAGTAACTCAGAGTTACGGTGAAATTGTACTGAAGATGAAAGCCTTTGTCACCCACTGGCTACCCGCTCCCTCTCAGGCAAAGCAGGGCTGGTGGTAAACTGACCTTGGCAAGATCAGAATGTCCAGCGCCACATCCTCTTCACCCCAGCACTCTGTTCTCATCATGGGTGACCACTCACCTAGAAAGCTCTTAGTAGCCATCCCAGAATACAGATCCTGTCTTCCCAGTCACACCTCATACAGGATGCTAAAGAAGAATTTCAGGTTATTCCCAGCCTGTTCCCTCCCTGAAATAATTACTGTGCTCAGAATTGGAACTTGTCCAACTTTGCATTCAGGGAAATGACTAGCAAAGTCAATTTGCCTCTAAACTGTCTCCCATTCCCCTGCCTTATAAGCCAAAATGAGCCGTACAATGATTTATGTATCCAGAAAGGAAAAAGCTATCCCATAAGTACCAACATTTTTGTAAAAAGTCATAACATCCATCTTAGATTTCTGGATCTTTGAAATGTTTTATGTCTTATCTTCAAGCATAATGGCATCCTTGAATTTCACTTCCTAATAGTTTTCTTGGCTGTTCTACATACATGCATTTTCGTTTTAGCATCTTGCAGTAAAACGTTCACAAAATTCAATCTTCTAAATTATCTCCACAGCTAGCCCATCTCAATTTATGTCTCGGTTGGCATCAAAATCATTCCCAAATTTTATAAAATATCTTTATTACTGCCATCTTTATGGTCTGCGGGGCTATAAATTTAGTATTTTGGAGCAGTGCTGTTCTGATCTGTGCCATAGCCTCTTCCAAGGATGAATCTGAGCTCAGAGAGAAGCCTTGAGTTTTGACAGATGTGCTGATGTCAACTTTAAAAAAGCTGTAACTTAATGAATCACCAAGTTTCATCAAGTTGAAGGTGAAACTGGGCGTGAAACGCACCGCTATTTTATGTACTGCTCAGAAAAGCTGCTGAGATGCTCGACCTGAGAGGATTGCAGCACGGGGCCAGGGCTGCAGACAATTCAGTGGTGCTCGGATGAGAACTAAGCTCCCATACAGATGGAGATCGCAGGGAAAATGGCCCGTTTCAGTCATCATCCTGGGTGGTGCAAATCGGGGAAACACCGCAAGGCTAACGAAGGTTCCTCTCGGAATTCACGCTGCGAGCTGCAAGGGCAGACCCCAAACCTCAGCCAGGAGCTTTCCCTTAAGGGATCATATGGTTGGTGGGGTTCCACAGTTGCTAGAAGTAAGAAATAATTCTCTCTGAAAGAAAGTAAATTCAAAGAAAATTCAGACCAAGAGCCACTGTGAGGCTCATTCTACTGTGAGAATGGTGTAAATGACTGTGTGGCCTAGAATCAAGTCATTTCAGTATTATCTTCCATGTTTCTCCTAAACATCTTTGAGATAATCAATCAGCAGTTGTCGTCTGTTGATAGCTAAAGTGAAGAATCGAGTTCTGCCCATTAATTGGGTGTTAAGACCAGGTTAGAAATACCTTCTGCTGTCTTTGTTCTTTATTAAAGTCCTTACGTATATCACTAGGAATCACCTGTTCATATCCCTATAATTTTACTCTAATAAACAGAGTTTTTCAGCTTGCTGAATTTCTCCTCAATTCCAAAGTTATAAGGATCACATATCTTTGAAATACAAAATGGAATTTTCATTATTTTTATGGCAGATTCCTGCTTCCACAAATGGGTATTTTCTATCTCCCATCATCTCTCTTGGGGAAAAGTAAACAAAACATTAAAATTCATGTTTCCTGATTTTTAAAATAAATGTTCCTATAGTAATGTTCCTCTGGCATATAGCTTATTTGTGCTTTCTTTGGTAATGCATTTACTATAAAACCATGAAAATAAAACATACCAGATGTTTCACATAGACTAAACAAATAGTAGATATCTTCATATTTGTATTGTTTTTTAAGTAGTTGAGTTTCAGCTTGCCGTGTTGTAAGAAGTCATGCAGCCTGTGACATCAAGTGCCGAGTACAGCGTTCAGTATAACTGTCCAGTGGCTTCAGATTTCACTTCATAGTGTATTGATTTCATTATCATATTTATAAAGTAAGAATCTCTAAAAGTAAGATACTAGTGACTCTCTCTGTGAAACAGTCACCTACAAACAATAAAGTTAAAATTTCCAGCCCTATGTATGTGTCTGTCTACCCATCTACTCATCTGCATTCAGACTGTCATTTTAAGAAGAAATTCACAAGGATTCATGTATTCAAAAAGGATGGAAATTATAAAATTTTAAAATGTTATATCCTGATTGATAATTACTTCCAAGGACATAAAACAACATACTTTAAAAGTTTAATTGATTGAAAAGTTGATAATTTACAAGTTCAAATTTTCTATACTGTTTCATCAATGTTACATCCACTAAACTTCATATATATTGG